CTGATTCACATTTTCAAAACAGAACTCATGATCATTTACCCTTAAAACCACCCCTCTTACAAACTTCCTGATTTGGGCAGCATCATTACCCAGGTTCCTAACCTCAGAGTCAACTTCAACCATTTCCTCTCCTTCCCCTTCTAGAGCCAACCAGTAGCCAAGTCTTTCAATCTTACTTCTACCTCTCTTTTCCTCCCTCTCTCTCTCTCTCCCCCTCTCTCTCTCTCTCCCCGTCCCTCCCTTCCCCTTCTTCCTCCCCTGCCCATCTATCCAAGTCACACTTTCACCTGGACTACTGCAATAGCCCCCTACTGGAAAAAGGGGGCTTCCTGTTTTTCCCTCTCTTCAATCCATACATTTGGAAAACTAATCTCCTAAGTCTGACAACGTTACTACAATGCTCAAAAATCTTCAGTGGCTCCCTCTTGCCTCTGGGATAAAATACAGCCTCTTCAAGTAGGCATTTAGGGGGCAGCTAGGTGGCGCAGTGGATAGAGCACTGGACCTGAAGTCAGGAGGACCTGAGTTCAAAACCGACCTCAGACCAAACACTTGACACTTACTAGCTGTGTGACCTTGGGTAAGTCACTTAACCCCAACTGCCTCACCAAAAAAAAAAAAAAAGTTGGCATTTAAAGCCCCCTAGAATCCAGACACGACCTACCTTTCCAGACTTATTTTCATCCTTTCACACACACTATGGTCAATTTACCAATCAAAAAGAATTTATTAACATGCTAGGCACTGTCCGGAGCACTGGGGATACAAAGACAAAACTGGTGAATTTACCCTTTAACAGGGGAGACAATGTATTACATTAAAAAGACATCTAGGAGCTGACTCAAAGTACCTCTGAATGGAAAGTCTGGGAGAGGGCAGGAAAGGCCCGAGCATAAGGTGGCTTCCAGGCAAACAGCTCTACTCTGCATGTCCTGAACTTGACCTTATAGCTCCTACCTCTAAGCTTTCAAATAAGCTGCCCCAAGGCTGGAACCACTTCTCACCTCACTTCTGATTCTTATCATCCTTAGTTTCCTTCTTGATTCACATCAGGTACCAGCTCCTTTACAAAGAAAGCCTTTCTTAAACCTTCCCTCCTGAAATGGACATGTGTGCTCATTGTATCCCCCTAATAGAATGTAAGCTCCATGAGGGAAGGGACTGTTTCAGGGTTTTTTGTCTTTGTATTCCCATACCTAGCACACGGCCTTGTACATAGGATTTTATACATGTTCACTGAGTATTCTGAAAGGCTGCAAGAAGACATAAAGAAAATGGAATTATGTAGAACACATGGTCTCTGTCCTTTAGGGCAAAGACGTACAATTTATTTTTTGGAGCTAGAAGGGATCATTTAGTCTGGACCCAGTTACTTTTTAAAAACTGAGACCTAAAGACATTCAAGAATTTGCCCAAGGTCACACAGATAATTAACAGGGCAAACAGAACACATAGCTGAAAAAGTATGACTGCTCAAAAAGAAAATGACATGAACAAGGACACATTAAATGCAGTAGGCCAAGCTACAGCATCTAAGGAATACTAAAGAGATGAGTAGAGATGGAGGTATTAGGACCAGGTGAGTCAAAACGCACTTATGAAATGCTTACTATGTGCCAGGCATTGTGCTAAGCAATGGAGATATGAAGGCAAAAACAGTCCCTGACTTCAAGCAGCTTCCACTCTGAGAGTGTATACAATAAGGAAATAATTATGTACATAGAAGATATAGACAGATTAGATAGAAGGTAATCTCAGAGGAGATGGTACAGGGTCTGGAAAAAGCCTGTAACAGGTAAATTTGGGCTGAATCTTAAAGGAAGCCAGGTAAACTAAGAGGGGGAAGGGAGATGGGAGAGCACTGGAGGCCTGAAGGGCAGCCAGTGGAGAAGCAGGGTCAGGAAGATAGGAGATGGGGCAGCTTGAGGAAGAAGCAGCATGGAGGACCACTGAAAGCATGAAAGAAAGAGTAAGAAACCTGGAAGACAGGAAGCAATCAGGTTATGGGGCACTTTCAATACCAAAAGAGCACTTCAGATTCACTTCTAGAGGTAAGAAGGAGCCACTAATATTTACTGGGGAGGTTGAGGGGAAAGGGAAGGCTATGGCCCTATGCTTTAGGAAAATTATTTGGTAGCTGAGTGGAGAATGGATTGGAATATTGCAATAGCAGGGCAGCTAGGTGGCACAGTGGACAGAGAACTGGGTCTGGAGTCAGGAGGACCTGAGTTCAAATGTGATCTCAGACACTTACTAGCTGACTGTCTCTGGGTAAGTCACTTAACCCTGACTGCCTTTAAAAAAAAAAAAGAAGAAGAAGAAGAATATTATAATAGCCTCCTAATGGCAAAAGCATCTTCTAGTCTTGGCCTCTCTTCAGTCCATGCTCCACACTACTGACAGACTAATCATAGGTCTGGAGTAGGGAGAGACTTGAGTCAGGGAGAGCAATCAGATTTCTGTAACAGTCCAAGTGAGAGGTGGTAAGGGCCTTTGCCAGTGTGGCGGCTGGCTGTGTGAATGGAGAGACGGGACATGCATGAGAGATGTCATGAAAACATAAATGAAAAGACTGGGTGACATATTAGATACGTGGTAGGAAACATAGGACTCAAGGATGACATTATGGTTTCAGCCCTGGGAGACAGAAGATGGGGGTGCCCTGACCAGTAAAAGGGAAACTGGGAAGACAGAAGAGTTTGGAAGGAAATATACTGAGTTTGGTTCTGGACACGTGAGTACATCCATGTTCAAAAGGCAGTTGGTGATGGATGACTGTAGCTCAGAAGAGAGAATAGTGTTGGATACAGAGATCTGGGAATCATTAGATGGATACAGAGATAATAACTGAGTCCATGGAAGCTAATGAGATTGACAAGTGAGACAGTATAGAGGGTCCTGGCTAGAACCTTGGGGAACACCCACAGTGATCAGTCACCATGACATGGATGGAGAACCAGCAAAGGAGACTAAGAAGGGGGAGAACTGGGAGGGTGCAATGTCATGAAAACCTGAAGGGGAGAGGATGTCCTGGAAGAGAAGGTGATCAAGAAGGGCAAATGCTGCTGAGAGGTAGAAAAGGGTGAGGATTGTGAGAAGGCCCTTAAATGTGGCCACTGCAATGGAAATGGAGACATTGAGTGTAAAAAAGAGAGAGAGAGAAGCACAGGGTCCAGTGGAAATAGCATTAAACCTGGAGATTCCTGGCTCTGACACTTACTAGGCATGTGGCCCTGGGAGAGGTCCTCCCCCTCCTCATCTGTAGAAAGTAGATATGTCCTGCATCACTCAGGATTGGTATGAGGAAATCACTCAGCAACCTTTAAGGTTAAAGGGGTTAACCCCTTTAAGGGTTCTAGAAGTGTGGACCATTACTCACTAGGAGTTTCCTGGAGGAGATGAGTTTGGAGCAGGCTCTTACACTGGGCCAACAGCATACAGTTTGCTGGAGGAAGTATTGGAGACCCTTTGGTACTTCGCAGTACCTTGGCAGTGTCCTGCATCCTTTAAGCTAAAGTGGCATATAAAATTGTTCCTAGCCTGAGCTGAAAAAATGTTACCTATGGGAAATGCTGCCCATTCTCTGCTAATGAATAAGTGTAATTGATGAAAACATATGAATTGATGGGCTCCCTAAAAGTGCTTTTAGCAAAGTGGATAGTTTTTCATTCAAATACAGATTCACCCAGATAAAATCTAATAATGGAGATTCTGGAACCATCCCAGCATGGGTAATGTTCTTTCCCCTCAGTATGCAGGAAGAGAAGCAGGCTCCAGGAACCCCATGCCCTCAGTCACAATGTGATTCAGTCCCCACACCAAAGCATCCCTTCTCTGTGGATAACTGATGGGATACAGTGAAAAGAAGACCACATTTGGGGTTACAGAGCCAGGGTAGGAACCCGAGCTCTGCTTTTTATTAACTATGTCATGGTCAAACACTAAGCAAATATTGACAGGAAAGACCACAAGTCACATAGCTGCTCCCCTTCCTACCTCCTCCTTAGCTCTGTTAAGATACATTGCCAATAACTCACTCATTCATGCATCTACCTATTCAACAAATATAATTTAGAACATGTGCCTAGCACCCTGTTTGGCATGGGAGCTACAAAGCCGGACAAGGCCCTGTCCTTGAGGTTGTATTTGGAGTATTGGAGTATTTGGAGGGAGATGAGATGTATTCCCTGTGAACTAATAGCATAGCTTTAAGTATCCTAAGAAAGGGACGAAGTACTGTGAGAGAGCAGGGAGACCTTACTTCCAGCTGGTGAAATCTAGGAGAGCTTCCTGGAGGAGATGGCATTTGAGGTTGAAGGAGGAACAGGATTTCCTGAGGCTGAAAGGGGAAGGAGGAAAAGTAGTCCAAGGGAGTAGTCTAGTCTGGGCAGCACATAGGGAATCTAAAGGGGTGTGATGCTTTATAGGCTGGAAAAGCCCTAGTGAGGTTGGATAGAGGAGGGCCTGGAAGGACCGACTACGCAACGGAGAAGTTCGACCTTGTTATCTAAACAACCCCTGGAGGGACAGATAATGATGAGTGGCATAATGAGGTCGATTAATCTTATGATAAGAGTTACCAGAGAGAGTAAAAGAGTGATGAGTTCCAAGACTGCGGCAACTGTCCAGATAAGAAGCATTGAGGGCTTTGACAGGTGGCAGCAGCAATCAGGGGAGATCCCTGCAGACAGAACCAAACTGAGCCCGGGGGAGGCACAGACATCAGGCCTCAACAGAACCCTTAAGCCACATCTGTTCAAGTCCCACGGAGTTGCATAAACTCACCCCAGCTACGTTAATCGGAGCTCTTTTTAAGCTCACCACACGCTTGGCCTGAGTAGGCAAAACAGGAGGGAAGTGCCTTTCTTCTGTAACACAAGAGGTTAAAAGTCCTGGCCTGAGGTAGATGACAGCTAAAAGACAGAGGTAATCGGTGTCTAGAGGAGGATGAAGCCGGGAGGGCAGAAGGAAGGGGGCCGGTGAGCGAGCAATGAGCCTACCTGCGGAGGAGACATCCTCGTGGTCCGAGCTGTTGTAGCTGCAGTCGCTGCCCCTCTCCGGGGAGCTATGGCCCGGCGAGTCTCGGCCTGGCACCCCTAAGAATCTCTTGCGCCTCCAGGGCGGGAGATGCTCTCGAGCCCCGCGGGAGTGGGGTTCCTCCGGAGCCAGAGGCGAGCACCGCCCGTCCTTGCCCTCCGCCTCCAGCTGGTCCAGGTCCCGGCTGCGCCGGTGCCGTTTGCCCCCTATCAGGTGCAACCAACGGTGGGGGCTGCTCGCCCGGGGGGGCTTCTCAAGCGCGTCCTCGCGGGGAAGGAAGCGGCAGGGTGCCAGGAGCAGGTGCCCCAGGACGAATTTCTCGTTCAGATCCACCACCTCGAAGTCGTGGTCGCTGCTGTCCCCGCCCTCGTCCGCGGTGCCCAGGGCCTCGGGCTCCGCGGGGGACAGCTCCTCGCCCTCCTCCGGGCTGGCGCTGGGAGCCGCGGCGGCCGAATCCGGGGACAGCTGCGCGGGCTCCTCCTGCCGCCGGGCATCCCCGGGGGCGCGCTCCGGCTTAGACTCGGGCTCGGGCTCCTCCCGGGGCCTCAGGAGCAGATGCTGGTGGATGGCGGCGGTCAAGCTCCGCACGGCGCCCGCTTCCCCGGGCGCCCCCAGCCACGCAGGAAACTCCAGGTTGACATAGTGGGGAGACTTGGCCGGGGCGGCTGCGTTGGGACCGCCTGGGCCGCTGTCCCCCGCGGAGGGCCCCGGCCGGGGCTGGGGCTCCGGCGCCTCCTTCTCTTCCTCCTCGGCGGGGCCGGGGCCGGAGCCGCCGCCGCCGTCGTCCCCGCCGCCGCCGCAGCCCCCCCAGCGGCCGCAGTCGTAGCCCCGCTTCTCCCGGGCCAGGGCCGCCTGCAGGTAGATGACTTTGAACTTCTCCTCGGCCAGCACCTGTTGCAGCCGCTTCAGGTTGAGCTTGCAGCGCTCCAGCTCCTGCTGCATGGCCGGCACCGAGTCCAGCTGCATGGCGGGCACCGGCTCCTCGGGGAACTCGGCCCTCCAGTGGCGCTCGAAGTCCGCAGGCTCCCACATGCTGGCCCGGGGGGCGGGGGGCGGGGGGCGCGCGGCGGCCGGAGCCCGTGCCCGAGCCCTAGCCCGGGCCGCGGCGGTAGGACGACCCGGGGGCCGCGGCGGCAGGACGACCCGGAGGCCCCGGCTTCCTCCGCGATGAGACTGCGGCTGCCTCTGCCTCCTCCCCACACTTCAGGCCCGAGGAGAAAGAAGAGAAGAAAAAGTTTTTTCCCCTTCCGTTCCTGTCTGGCTTTTTTTTTTTTTCTTTTCGGTTTCAGGTCCCTGACGTAAGCGGCCCGGCCCCTCCGGTGAGGCGGAGGCGGGGGGGGGCCAGGGGACCCGCCCCTCGAGGGCTCGGCAAGCCGAGGCGAGGCGTCCAGCCGTAGCCCCCTCCCGGGCTGACCTGCGCAGCGGCGGCAGCTGCGGCGATTGTAGGGCCCGAGCACGCCGTGGGGGGCTGGGCGCTGGAGGCGGGGCAGGGTCCGGTCAGGGGGCGCCTCGCGCTGCGCAGCGTGGGAAAGGTTCTACTGCGCGCGCCGACTGAGGACCGGGTCCGGCCAAAGGCCGCGGGGGGCGGGGCTGGGTGAGACCTGGGGAGATGGGCGGGGACCGCCGCACTCTCTGGCAGCTCAGGAGGGCGCGTGCACGGTGGGGGTGGGGTACGTGGGCGGGGGGCGGTCCCAGCACTGAGCGGGTGGCAAAGCAAGACCAGTCCAGCGGGGTACCACTCGCGCCCACTGTGTGTGAGAAGGCTCAAGGACGCGAGGACGTGCCTGGAGACTAGGATCCGGAGGATGGAGGGGAGGGGGCGGGGCTCGGTGAAACCTGGGAGGCACGTCTGAATGGTTTGGGGGGGCTCTCGTTCTGGGGGGAACTTAGGGGTAGAAGGGAAGATTGTTTAGTTGTAGAAGCCAAGGCCTTACTTATGGAGGAGAGGGTCAGGGTTCGGGGCCAATGGGTTTCTTGAAGATGCGGCAGGAACGGGATTCAGTAAGCCTTTGCCCCTTCCCTTCCCTCTCCCTACTCCCTTGCAGGTGGTCCGAGCTATCCTGGGGCTCTGGCAAGCATCCTTCAGAAGAGGTGGAGTCTAGGCTGCTTAAGATGCTCCATAGTGAGGGAAGGGCTCCCGAGGCCCTGTTCTCCTTCCCATGTTGGGTTCCCTTCCAGACAGGGGACAACTGGAGAAAAAAATGTGCCCCATTGTGCCTCAGGCAGGGAACAGAAAGGCAGCAGAGCCCAAAAGACTGAAGAGGCCTCTGGTAACCTGAGACCTGCACAGATGGAGAAAGGAGACCCAAACACCAGGGCTTCCTCGGCTCATTTTAATCAATCAAATATTTATTGAACATCTTCTATGACCAGGGCCCCTAGGGAATACATGAGAAGACGGGGTTGCTGCCAGATTTGGGGGATGGGGAGATACTATCAACTACAAGATCTTTGTCAGACTTCACACAGCCCTTTGACTTAAAAATACTTCAGTTTTCCCCCGACTAAACTAAGGATATAGAGATTGTACAAGAGATGAGGGACCTCCCCACAAGCATCTGTCTGAAGGCTGTTTTTAAAATTCCCATGGAGAAAGGGAGGATTCTGGTTAGCTGTTTACTAGGTTGATGCATCTAGCTCTTCCTTCCATCACCACCTAGGTCAACCACACTTCTTTTTTTCTATGACATGGAGTCAGCTCTGATGAACGAGGTCTTTCCTACTTTTTGATGTTTGCTTAGTGTCTAGGCATGACAGGTCCCTTGAACAGTTTCTACATATCAGTTCATGCTCTCAGAGCAGTAGGACTCCCCTGGGAAAGGGAAGGAAAGGGAAAAATTACTTTTACCTACTTGTATCTGGCAAATAGATCTGCCCTGCCCAAATTCATCTTTGGTGACTCCTTATAGTGTATCCCAGCTCTCCACCTTATCAAGACACCTAGGCTAATATCCTCCAGGTATGAATCATGGGTCTTGAGACATGAGGCAGGCATGATTCAATAAAGGTTTTTCAACTCTGAGATTTCCCTTCTTTTCCAAAGCCTAAGTGGATTTTCTTTTTTTTGGCTAGGCAATGGGTGTGACTTGCGCAGGGTCACACAGCTAGTAAGTGTTATGTGTCTGAGGTCAGATTTGAACTCGGGCCCTCCTGAAGCCAAGGCGAGCACTCTATCCACTGCGCCACCTAACTGCTCCGTAAGTGGATTCTTTCAAGCATTTTGCTTTCCCTTCTGGTTTTCATTGACTTGTCACAGATACTGATCATTTGCTGGGGTAGGGGGTGGTGGCATGTTTTTCATCAGTTTGCCATTGGAAATGGGCATACTTTTTAAATAGTCAAAACAGTACTTCCAGGTTTTGAATTATTGCTCAATCATTCAGCCTGTTACTCAACCTTTCTCTCTGCCATGAACTGCACATTTAGAGTAGTCCTCTGAAATGCTGAGGTTGTGTTGTAATGGATTCTTGTCAGTGAGGAAGTAACACCAGGCTGAGAATCACAGAATTTCATAATTGAAGAAGAATTCGGAGGTCACCTAAGTCTAATCAGTGCCTGAACTGAAATCTCCTCTATGATATAACTAACAAAGCTAAAAGCCCTTCAGGGAAGAGGAACTTACTAAAAATAACTAGTGTTTAATTAACACTCTAAGGTTTACAAAGGGCTTTACAAATATTGTCGAAACAAGGAAAAGTACCTATATGTACAAAAATACTTATAGCAGTTGTGGTGGCAAAGAATTGGAAATTGAAGGGATGCCCATCAATTAGGGAATGGCTGAACAAGTTGTGGTACATGAATGTAATGGAATACTGTTGTGCTGTAAGAAATGATGAGCAGAATGGTTTCAGAAAAATCTGAGAAGACTTAGATGAATTGAAGTCCTGCCTTGTTAAAGGCTAAGGGTTTAAGATGAGTTTCCACCCTTAGTTTTGTGTATTTATTTTAAAAGATCTAAACAGAAAGAAAGAAATCTGCTTAGAGGTAAAAGACTTTTTCTCCCCTGGGTTGACAAAGGCAAACTTCACACCACCCTAGTGAAATCTGAGTAATTCCAGAAGTGGTGGTGGTGGTGGTGGTGGTGGTGGCAGAGGAGGAGGAGGAGGAGGAGGAGGAGAAGAAGAAGAAGAAGAAGAAGAAGAAGAAGAAGAAGAAAGTATTTAATAGTAGCAGTATTAAATTAAATCATAGTAGTAGTAGTAAACAATTCCTCCACAAAACATTTTTCTTTCTGCCGACCCTTGAGTGGAGGCACAGAATCATTTCTGCTTTGTGTTATCACTAGTCTCTCTACTATGCATGGTATAAGAGCTCATGTCTTATCTGACCACAGAGTGGTTATGCCTGAAAATTTTTATCATTCTCAATGTATGTGTCATACGGAGGAAAGCATTCTATAAGATGACTAAGATTCTGCTGGGTCCCGCTGTTCCCATGGAGGAGACAGAGTGGGCAGAGACCTTTGGGCCATTTAGCTCTCAATGCCACAGTGGTAGGAGATTCTCAGTAAAATAAGAATTGTCTCCTTACGCTAAGAGCTGTAACTAGCATGGATTGAATAGGCCTTTGTCCAGCAACACCAATATGGGAGAGGAGCATTTTCTGGGGAAGGGTATACTTCTTGAATTGCCCACACCTCACCTCATAGTCTTCCACTCACCGTTAACTATGGACTTGGCCCTTTTCTCTTGGGCACAGCTTTCCCACCCAAGCCCTCATGGGTAAGGGCTGGATTCTCTGGGGTCAACCGTGCTGGTCTCCTTGTACCAGTATCAGCCTGTCCTCTGTGTTTCTGCTGCTGCAGAGGCCCTACCCAAGGGCCAGGATTTGCCCCAGCTGCCAGGATTCCTAGTTCTGGGTCTGTTTACACTGTCAGGATCAATTTCCCTCACCTTTTTGTCTTCACAGACCTTTCAGCAGGAGACCTGTTTACCCTTCGTTTCAGAGGAAGTCAAAACCACGGTCAGAGCGAACAACACCACTGAATATTTGGCAGGTCTTGAACAAGCCACATAGGAGGAAACTTTCTTCATCTATCTAGTGAGGATAACAATGCTGGTTCCTCCCAGGTCTTTATGGGAATCACCTGAGATAACGTTATGTCTAAGTGCTTTGGAATCCCAAGGCAAAGTGTAAATTAGCTATTATCGTTATTAGGGGAAAAGCCCAATAGGTAATGCCCCAAGAATCTCCTTGTCTACCGTTATGCTGCCAGCCTTTGTTCCCAGAAATGGCTCTCTTAGGTTGAGGTTTCTCTATCAGACACAGAATGAGAGACATTAGTCATAGATCATGCCTCAGCACAGATATGAGGCCAGGGCCCGTTAGAATAAGCCCTGAGAGAAATCACAGCATTGTAAACTCAGTCAGCACCTATTGTAGGTACCTGACTGATACAACCTTGTGTTGTACCTTGTGGTATAGCAGAAAGACCGGGGATTCAGGAGACCTGGGTTCTAGTCCTGGCCCTAGACCTAACCAGGTGACCTTAGACAAGTCACTCCCCTACTCTGGGTTTCACTGTCCTACTCTGTAAAAAGAGAAGTTTGGGTTAGAAAATCTCTAAAGCAGAGGTGCCCATGACCCATAGCACTCTAGAGTGAAGCTGGAACCAGATTAAAATGTAATTAAGAAATATTTAACCAAATAAATAAAAATACAACAGACAACATTAAGTTTTAAAACTAAGCCAACATGTGACCTACAGGGTTCCTTATATACGGATTAGGGGTCCCCATTTCTATTTGAGTTTGACGACACTGATCTAAGGTCTCTCCCAGCACTAACGTTCTGTGTTACTCAAGGTTCCTTCTAGCTCTGACATTCTATGTTCTAAATTTAACTAAGCTTTCACCCAAGCCTAGGGTACATTGCTTGTGGTTGCATATGCGGAAGGAGATGTGACTCTGGACTGATAGAGAGAATACTGAACATGATGTGACAATGAGTACTTGTAGGAAGCACTTACTTCAGTTTGTAGAAGAAACTTGGGAGACACATGTGGTTCCAGAGACTATTTGGGAAAGATG